TTTTGTCACGGGTAATGCACATGTAAAACATGAAAGCCCTATCTCTTCTTAATCTAAAGTTGTAACTAACAACAGTGTTTGAGAAATACGGATGACCCCGTATGGCAACATAACGAAAATTAAATTTCCTTACATGCAAATTAAATATATTGGAACTCAAAGTAGGGTCTTCTCACACGAAATATGATTGTGAAATAAGAAGGTCATAGCACCACCTTTTCAAATATTATGGCCAGGGATAAGTTTTTGATACAATGTAGGTAGGTCAAACTTTAAGGTCAAAGATGTTGGTTTCTTAAGAAAGGTCGTCACAAGTATTACATATTTGAAGTATGAAAACCCTAGCCCTAATCGTTCAAACGTAATTGCCGAGGTTAAAGATTTTAAAAAGTTGGTCAAACTCTAAGGTGAAGGTCAAAGTTCTTCATATCCTTGATATCCAATGAAAGGTGTTGTCACAAGGATTAAATATCTGAAGAATGATAGCCCTAGCCCTAAATCTTCAAAAGTCATTGTCAAGGTTTGTTTTTAAAATTATGTCAAACTTTTAGGTCTAGGTAAAAGGGTCAAAGTTCTTTGGTATCCAAAAAAAACGATCTTTTTACAAGGATTACATATTTTTAGTATGAAATTCTTAGCCCTTACCGTTTATAAGTTATAGCTAAGGATCAAGTTATTTTCATAACTATTAAGTACGGAAATATCCAATGTCAGGTCAAAATTGTCGGAATCCAAAGAAAGGTCTTATTACAAAGAATACACATGTAAAATATTAAAATCCTAGTATCTACCGTTCAAAACTTATGATCTTGGCCAAAGTAAAATTTTAATTTTGTGTAAAAGTGGGTCAAACTCCAAGGTCAAAAGGTGGCATACAAAGACAGGTCTTGTCACAAGGAATACAAATGACTGTAAAATTTTGAAAGTCATAGCTCCACTAAATCAAAAGATGAGCAAGGTTAAAGTTTTTGTGAAAGACATACTTACAGACTGACAGACAGACGGACGAATGAGATTTAATGTCCCTTCGCTTTTGCGAAAGAAAGGGACAATAAAGCCAGTTCAGGTCGACATACGCTATTGCTTGCAAAAGCAGACTCTCTAGTTTTATTTTGGAATTATTTTTTTCTAAATAATAAATAATTCTGAAAATTTTCGATAAATATATATTTATTAATTAATTAAATGGACATTTAGTGAAAGGTGTGGCTAGTCAATTTGGTGAGCACCCGCTCAACCATCCAAAGGTCCCCGGATCAAACACCCGAAGAGGGAAACGTTTTATATTAATAAATTTATTTTAGGGCCGATGCACACGGTAAGGCTTGCCTTGCGGGATGTACGGCTCTCATGTCCACACGTTAAGGCAAGACGTACGAGATTATAAACAACATTTACATATATATTCCTTGTTTTTTAGCCACAAACAGTGTGCATTATTAAACGGAATAATTGAATGCTAGCTAGGACTGAAAAAATTTTACTGACCAGTGCATCCACACTTCTCAACAAAGAAGAGGAGGCGAACTGAAGTATTTGCGGATATTTTAATTATCTTATACGAATATACTTTGTGTTTCCTTCAATATACCAACTTGTATAGTTTAATAAAAATAGATTGAACTTTGAGTGAATGGTTTTCATAGGTTAAGAAATAAATGTCAGGTAAGTCTTGTATTAAGAAATAGAGCAATATTCATTTCCTAAGTCAGACTTGTAAGGCTCGAAAAGACTTGTATTAAGGGTGTACACAAGGTAAAGGCTACAACTTAAGTTCCGTCACTTATACGGCAAGCCTGACCGTGTGTACCGGTCCTTATGTGTTTAATAATTAAAAAAAGTATCTTACATTAAATTTCGAAGAATTTTGTCAAAATCAAAGAAGATATTGAAATTTTTGTTTAAGCCAATCTGAGAGAGTGTGCATGCACGTGAGTTCATGCTAAATTGACCAAGTCTTCTTGTCTACACTGCTTGTCTGTCTTTCTGTTTATAGTTTCAAAATATTACCTCAAAAATGTAAAGGTTATGTTTATATTAAATATATGAGTCATTTTACTCATTGCATACGCATCCACACGTCGCAAATCCTAAAAAGGTTTCATCTCAATTGGATGAGTTCCCACGAGAACACGCGGACAAGAAATATTTGGAAAAAAAACCTCATTTTGGAAATATGGACTTACCTCTTTTTAGGTCACCTGAGTAACTCAGGTGACCTATTGCTATCTGTTTTTGTCTGTCGTCGTTCGTCGTCTGTCGTGTGTTAACATTTGAACATCTTCAGCTTCTTCTCTGAAACCGTTCAACCAATTTTGAAACAAAGCATCTATGGGTAAAGGAGAACAAAAATTGTGAATTTTATGGTCCCCGCCCCCCTGGGGCCTGAGGGGTGAGGCCAAAACCACCAAAATTATTGCCATCTTTAAAAATCTTCTATTTTACTCCTGGACATCAAGCAGGCAAACTGTTGGCATGAATGTTATGAGCACTTTGTTTTGTACGAAGGATAAGATCTTCTTCGCAGCTACTTTCACTTCTATGAGTCCTCACCAGGAGATGACCCTGAATGGGGTTTCTTCATATCCTACCAAAATTGTGAAATTCATGGCCCCAGGGTCAGGCGTTTTTGTGCTAGGGCGTGGCTATATAGATTATATAGTGAAAATGCATTATTCCTTTGAAAATCTTCTCTGCTCTTGGGTATTAAGTAAACTAAGTAAGTACATAGTTATGTTGAGCACGAATGCCTCTTCCAAAATTGTGAATTTTATGGCCCCGGGGTCAGGGGTTCTGGTATTAAGGTGGGGCTCTATTGATCAGATAGGGAAAATGCATTTATTCTTTGAAAATTTTCTTCTCGGCTTCTGGGTATTAAATGAACTAGCTAAACACATAGTTATGTTGAGCAAGAGTGCCTCTTCCAAAATTGTGAATTTTATGGTCCCAGGGTCAGGGGTTCTGGTATTAGGGTGGGGCTCTATTGATCAGATAGTGAAAATGCACTAATTCTTTTACTCTGCTTCTGGGTATAGAATAAACTAATTCAGTTCACAGTTATGTTAAGAAAGAGTGCCTCTTCCAAAATTGTGAATTTTATGGCCCCAGGATCAGGGGCTATAGTGTTAGGGCGGGGTTCTATTTATTACATAGGGAAAATGCATTTACTCTTTGAAAATCTTTTCCTTTGATCCTGGGTTTTATGCCAATGATCCAAGTATATATATTTATGATGAAGAAAGGTGACCTAGCAAAATGGTTATTTTTAATGCCCCCTGGGTCGGGGGGGGGGAGGGGTTCATAGTCTGAAAATAAATTAATGCTTTGAAATCTGCTCTTTAGTATTAATCAACCATTTTATGATAAAATTTCCAAAATTTTGAAATATGTGGCCCCAGGGTCAGTGGTTCCTTTTGGGTGAGGTGCACAACTGGTTATAAAGTGGAAGTGCATTTTCTCTTTGTTACTCTGATCTTCGTCTGAGTATTAGGTAAATAGAGTAAGCATGCTAAGTTTATAATTATGATAAGCAATGGTGCCTCTTTCAAAATTGTGAATTTCATGGCCTCTAGTTTAAAACACGAACCAATTTTAATTGTTTTTGAAAGTTGTTGCACGATACTCAGGTGACCTAAAAGGCCCATGGGCCTCTTGTTTCCCAAATAAGATGTTTTATGAAAGTTCACACTAAATATAAATTTAAAAAATTTCGTTATTTCCAGATCATGACAAAAAGCATACGGCGGGTCTGACCGGTCGATGGAGGGTGCTAACTCCTCCATGGCACCTGATCATACCTTCAATGTTTTTGAGGTCCGTGCTTGCTCTGCTCCTAATATGAATTGTTTGATCTTGAAAACTAATGGAAAGAACAATTATACTTTCTTTCTTACTTTCCTTCGCAGTTCTTATGAAACGTTTGTATACGAACACAAGGACAAACAAACGAATGCCAGATCTAACTCGATTGAGCTTTCTCCTCTTGTGCGCTAAAAAAAAAATGAGCGGATCTGTCTATCAAAATGACATCAACGAGTCCCCCTCCCTTCCTCAAAGAAAGTTTTCCTCCTTGTTTAAAACCCCGATCCCTCTTAAAATCTGTGATTCTGCGCCTGAATTTTTAATATTTTGACTTTATTTTTTTAGATTCAAGTCATGAAATGTGTAACTATGAAAGGGATACTTGCTGTTAATGTGATTTGTTGCATTCTTAACTTGCAACTGATACAAGGACATTTCATAGCAGGGGTTATAAGGGACACATGTTTAGACAATGAACTGCCAACAGCCCTTATAAACTCTGTATCAAATCGTACCATCTACAATGTCTGTATTCCCTCACCACCATTTACCGAAGAATGTACTTCTGTAGGTGAGTACAAACGTTTGCTCCTCATTGAACGTATATTAAGAATACGATAAAATCGTAAGGTTCATAAACCGTCTGCTCACTCATTTAAAATGTTGCTTGAACCTTAATGATTTTTAAAAGAAATGTATTTTAATGAGTAAAAAATACAAACGTATTATAATAAGTAAAAAACAAACAATAATATACTAGTACAGCATAGCTTGCGGGGCAAAATTGGACAAAAAAGACACTTCAACTTGGCAAATCTATAAAGGAATAATATATTTTTATGTCATTGAGGGTTATCCCTCTTATCAGAGTATCAATGAACCTTAAGACTTGTGGATTTATTGTTAAACTCGATTTGATTGTTGCCTACATTTTTGAATCTATACTTTCATCAGAAATTACAGTGAGAGGTTGGAGATGCCCTGGCAATTCTCTCCCGGTTTCTCCCATCGCTGGGAGAATGCGATGTTGTACTAAAGAAGGTGAGTTGTGCGTTGAAATTAAAACACCTCAAACATCACGCCTGACATTTAAATATGAACAAATAATAGGTAATTGAATAATTTTAGAGATATGAATTGAATATAATACGTGTATTTGAGAATCATTAACTTGAAGTCTATTTTCATTAAATAAATAGGTTTGGAGATTAAGAAGTGCATTGTGGACCCAAACATCATTACCTTTGACAAAGACTTTGTATTAGTTCCTCCCAAAGGGTTTCATCTTAAGGGCCGACGTGGTGTGGGGTAATATAATATATTTGAATTGGTAAAGATTAAACATTTCATGACGCCTGAATTAAAGCAGACAAGAATTCTTTAATACACAAAATTTTCATCTATGTACAACTTGTTTATACCAATTTTAGCCGTATTCCGCTATATGTCTTTCAGATACATTGTCTTATTGTACAGTTGTATAACCCCAATGCGCTCGTATGATTTCTTTTTAGCTTGCCTAACAGATAAAAGTCATAATATGATATTTCTGAATAATAATTGTAAAATTTGAAAGAAAGAACAAGATGTGTTTGTGAAACACTGACTCCCCCGTATGGCAGCTTATGGCGAGGGTTGAATTATCTCAATTACATGTCAAACTCCAAAGGTCAAGGTCAAAAGTTTTGGTATCTAAAGGAGTCTTATTACACGAAATACACTTGTAAAATATGAAAGCCCTAGTTCTACATGTAACTGTTCAAAAGTGTTGACAAAACTACTCAACCTTGAAATGTATGGCGTCAAGAAGGGAAATTGAAAAAAAAAACAACCCCAAAACACGCGCATGTTGATGATGATAACTTTGTGACCACATTTTGTAGTACCATACGATGAATTAGAGTTATAGACATCGTCTTTGCAAGCAGTATAAATTTCTCGCACTCAAGATATGGCTGACGGAAGTTATAATGGGTCTACTAATTGAATTGCATAAGTGAATAAAAAGGCAACAACATCTTGCTGTGCAGATTGTTTTCAACTTTTCAACCAAAAATGTTTATTGAATTTTTTTTCGGTTTATAGAAAGTAACTTAAAAGGTTTCCAACCAACCATGATGGTGACGTTGGCGTGTAACATCATCACATAAAAATAGGGTTTTTCATCATGCCACCTCGGTTATTGTCAAGGCATTAACACTGAAACCAATATTTATACAGCAGACAATCATAATCATTTTTTTCACCCTAAAATAGACAGAAACTCTCTGCTCTAATTTGTTCCGCGAGCTTAGCAACTTTACGTTGATTTTATTAGGTCTTTTTCAATACAAAATTCAGATAATGCAGAGTTTGAGCATCTCGGATCAGGTTGAAAGATTTGATTTTTGGCGTTGGGCAGCTGACGTTGCTGACAATTACGCAGATGCATTTCAAAATGTTTGGTTCTCGGACGAATCACATTTCCTCCTATCTGGACATATATGTAAACAAAACATGAGATTCTGGGGGAATTGAACAGCCTTACTTTTAAACGGAGAGACCATTGCATAGTGAAAAATTAACTGTTTGGTGTGCCATATCGTCACATGGGGTGATAGGCCCTTACGTCTTTACGGACACTGTTAAGGTAGTCCGATGCTCAGGTTTATAGAATTAGCAGTTAAGTAATCAAAAATACTCATAAAAGTATCTCTGAATCCAAAGAGTCATGTAAATTTATCCACAGTATTTCTTTAAACTTAAAAATTAAGGTTAATCATATTATATAGGGAAAATTGTCAAATCTCCAATATTTTACAGAAAATGCGAATTGAAATATTAGCAATGTATTTTCTAATTGCAAATTGATCAACAAATATATTTTAGGTTAATAAACGATAGGTATCCAGGCATTCAGAGAAATTGCTATGATTTTTATACTTATTTGGTATTTTTTGTCTTCTATTTCCGTCATGTATTCTATAGTACATAGTGTAAAAGGCTTTTGCTATCATTGCAGGACACCAAAAATCACTTTTTTATTTCATATCATGCTAATATGCTTTCAATTGGTATCTAAGGCTGAATTCAAGAAAATCTTATTTCTCTAAGACTGTATTTTTTTTCTATTATAGGGTAAAAATGTCAAATTTTCAAGCTTCATTTTCATGCATTTCAAATAAAATATTAATTTTTGGAGTTATCCTTCCTGACTGAGGATCGGATATCCTTAATTTACAACGATACCTGTCATTTTTGAAAAACAAATTTGTTCCTGCGCTTCGAAAACGAACTGCAAATATGCAAAATGTATGGTTCATGCAAGATGGTGCTACAGCACATATATCTAATATTGTATTAGATTATCTCAATGAAATCTTCGGCGACAAGGTGATCTACTAAAATTATAGTAAAATGAAGATGAAAAAGACGCTCGAACCTTTTACATTGAAAATCTGACCCGATCGCATCAAATATCATTCTAGTACAATTGAGAACTTTTGGTGATCTGTATGTATCGAATACTTTATTTTTATTAACGTGACTTCGGTTTTCAAAATTTAAAATGTCGCAAAAATTACTTACTTTTATCACCATCCTGTTTATGACTCCCACAATTAGACGTTGTTTTATTTCCGGATCGAAAGATAGGGGACATTTATTGTTTTGTTCTGTCTGTCTGTCTGTTGTCAACTTTAACCTTAGCCATAACTTTTGAACCGTAAGAGATAGAGACTTCATATTAAGTATGCATACTGCACTCATTGGGGTCTTTAAAACGACTTTCTGACCTATATGTTAAAAATAGCTTTTTCGAACTGTCGCCATAACTTTCAAACCATAGGATATACAGACTTCATATTTGGCTCGAGCACTCCTCTAACCAAGGTCTCTCAAGTGACACAAAGGTCAAGCAGCTTGTACCATGTGTCCTTGACCTGTATACTAAAATTAGCTTTTTCGATTTTTTTTTGCCGGACGCATAGTGTTTAACAAACAAATCTTGTTTCACTAATGTTAATGCATTTACTTCTCATCCACAGAAACCCGAACGATCCAATCGGTTATAGGATAGAATTCTGTTCTCTGCGACCTCAACGACTTCAACATTAATATCAACCACGAGTGCCATCTGACGTCATCACCAGTAATCCGACCTCACCTTTGTGATATTATTTACAGACGGATGACAAACTAATGTTGTATCAATAATCTTTTGTTCAAATATAGATGATGATGTACCAAATTTTTGTCATTAAATCTACATATAAACAGTCTACATTACAGTCGTTTGACCAGTTCCAAATTTTGAAAAGGTCTGAGTTATAACTTAGAAACTTATAGATTTAATTAAGACAGTGTTTGATACAAATTCAACCATTTCAGTTAAAGATCGTTTAAAAAATTCTGTTGAATTTGGAAGAATGTTATAAAACCAAACGATTAAATTTTAATTGTTATCAAATTAATTTGGTTATAGGATAGAATTTATAACATATTCTAAAGTTGTATCTTTGTCTAACAACAAATCAGTATAAGGTTGATTCTCAGGCACGTAGCATCGTTTTTGAAAGTGGGGGGGGGCAACCTGAGAAAATTTTTTTTTACTTACCTAAAAAAAATTGTTGACTAGAAAGAAAAAAAAGGAAAAAAACCCGGAAAATTTAAAGTTGCCCAAACTCGAAAATCCTATTTCGTGGGAGGGGGGGGGGGGGTAGTGGCCAACTTTTTTTAAGGCCAACTTCAAATTTTTTTCCTATCTTTCCTTGCCATAGATATACTGTGGTTAAAAGTGGGGGGGCCAACCATCTTTTCAATGGACATTTTCTATAGTAAAGGTAATGTTCGGAAAAAAAGTCCCCCCCCCCCCCCCCCCCCCCCCCCCCCCGTTGCTACGTGCCTGATTCTTGATGTTAGATAAGTGAATACATGCGTTGTAAAGAGAAAACTCAAATTCGATGGGTCTTCAGAGGATCTCAATTTTGCCAAAGGTTTATTCATGATCAAATTTGATTTAACTATTGATATCATCATGTAAACATTAATCCTGATTTCTCCTGTAATTTCGATGGCTCAAAGCGTTATTTCGTATTCACAGTCCTACCCTTCGGTCTTAGCAGTGCTCAGCTGGTTATCTTTTACTAAAGTATTAAGACCATTAGCATTGTATTGGAGAGCAAAAGCACATGGAATTATGTTCTAATTCGTTTCACTCAAACGAACATAAATTATTTACAATCAAAACAAGAACACTTGTCTACATAGGAAATGGAAGCGCTTGCTTGCCAATATTTATTAGACGTATACATTTACAAAAAACAAGTCTTCAATGGTACCAATTCTCTACCTTCCTTCTACAATATATCAAAAATATAATTAATCACACATAACAGTACAAAATGCATTTTTAACACAATGCTTTTATATGTCCTCACTTCGCTGATTAAAAACGTAATATAATGCATGTATGAACACAATTATGCTTCCCTCGCCGCCCAGGAAAAACCATAGATAAAAAACAACATCGATTTATGTTGAAAAAAACTATGGAAACCTGTAAGTCCGCAGCAATTGCGAGGTAAACAAAATGAATGGCGGACTCATTCTCACAAACTTACGTACGTATCATATATTATAATGTACAATTAATCGACTAGTTTAAGTAAAACCTATGCAAAATGAATGTAAGTTAGAACTATCTGTAAACACATTTCGACTATATGTAGTTAATATGTACCCTTACACAATAATCTTACATTTATATCAAATTTTACATAAAATTATCTAGAGCGACTAAGCAAATTGTTTCCCATCTTTGACAGTTAATCTGTTGTGTACAAAACTTTTAATTTTCTTGAAATGAAAACAATTACTTTCTTTATTAAACAAATTACTAGTAAAAGGTTGAAGTAAGTAAGAGGGTGCGTGGGTGGGTGTGAATGTCGCAAAGCAAAGCCTTCGAATGAGTTAAAATCGTGATTAAAGTGAATACCTGTTCACCCGTTCTACAGGTATCGACCTTTAAATACTGACCAATAGCTACTGTCGCTATTATTAGCACATAATAAACAAAAAAACGTGTTCCTAGTACATATTATAAATAAATTTATGTTCTAATTGAAGATTTTATGAGGGCATATTGCCCGAAATGAAATATTGATTATATGAAGAAAACTCATAAGATATAACATTGCAATGCCTTCAAATTTAGCTCAAAAATCAGCTGTTTAAAGTGACCACCCCTATGAAAGTTTTTAGACTCGTCCATTACAGGTGAATGACACACCTGAGTGACCACTTAAACAATGCTTTCAATTTTGCAATTGTGATTTATAACAACACAATATTACTTATTTCAATCCTTTAATAATTTTAATACTGGTATAACATTTTTTCCAGGACATTTCTGTGCAACTCTCTGTCTCACAGGGTCTCTTCACTCTGAAATATATTAGAATTAGAATTATATATCAATGTAACTCAGTAAAAGAAAAATGCATGAATTAAAGTCAAAATTTTTTGTTTGTTTATTTGTATTATAAAAAATCTGATTATGGGTGGGATGTGGAGGGATTGCAATGTTATATCTTATGAGTTTTCTTCATATAATCAATATTTCATTTCGGGCAATATGCCCTCATAAAATCTTCAATTATATTTCAGAAAACATCATAAGATATAACATTGCAGGTTCAAAGCTCAAACTAACCTAAAGTCAAAACTGCTTTGGAAAATCCATCTGATTTATCTAAGCATGTAGACCTACAATAAAATTTATAAAAGGTTCCTGCATGTGACCAGTCTGCCATTTCTAATACCTCATTTACAGATGTACCTTTTTTAAAGGCCTTACTGGTTGATGCACTACGAGCTGAATGGGGCTTAAATTTAGCAGTATCAACACCTGCCATGGCCATAACATCCCTTATCCAATTTGAAACTGTATTGGCTGTTAAACCTTTATGTGGCTTAATAACCGACCGTAATATTGGATCACCTGAATGCTCAATAAGAGTCCTAAATGTCTTTGTTCTGTGTAAATACTCAAGTAAACATTCAACTACACACAGTTTTTCATGATCTGGAAAACGTGCATAAAACACTTCTTTTGAACTGCAATCTCCTTGCGTCTTTGACAACCCCGGCAAAAGAAATTTAACACCTGATGGTATAACTTGCATGAAACCCTTATCTAATCTTGCTATTTCTGAAACTCTTTTTGGGGCAGCAATAGCTAAAAGCGTAGCCAACTTTTTTGACAAGAGTTTTAGAGAGAGTTCTTCATTACTTGGGAGTGAAATAAAATAATTCAAAACCTTATCTACATCCCATGTCTCTTTATATCTTGGTAAGGGGGGATTTCCTCTTAAAATACCTCTCATTAGAAGTTTTACCATGGAATGCTGGCCAATGGGCAAATTATTGACATGAGGCATCACAGAGGAAAGAGCAGATCTGTGAACATTAATTGTTCTATACTGAAACCCCTCATAATACAAATAGCTTAAAAAATCTAATACAAAGCTTATAGGGGCTGAAAATGGATCAATTTCCCTTCTGACACACCAGCTCACCCACTTTTTCCAGGCTGAATTGTAAGAAGATGTGCCCTTTCCCCATGAGTTACAGATGAGATCTTCAGTCTCTTGCGATAAGTGCATTGTTTGCATGGATCTCCTGAGACAACCCATCCGACTAACTGGAGTGAGTTGTTCCTCACTAGTGGGTGAGGTTCTCCCTTGTCTGACATTAGGAGATTGGGAATTATTGGGAGGAGAATGGGATCCTGAATGCACATCTTTAGAATTGTGGCATACCATGGTTGGGCTGACCATGCTGGGGTTACAAGGAGAATCGTTGCTTTTTCCCTCTGAATCTTGCTCAGACATTGAGAAATGAGACAAAACGGGGGAAATGCATACCCCCTTATTCCCACCCAGGGATGCAACAGTGCATTGTGTGCCATTGCTTCTGGATCTGGCATCCAACTGATGAACTTGTCTAGTTTTGCATTGGTTCTGTCTGCAAACAGATCTACTTTGCATTCTATTGTTCTGTTCATTAGAATTTGAAATACGTATGGATCTAACCCCCAACTGCTTGAGTCCTTGTGATGTCTGGACTCCCAGTCTGCTATGACATTTTCCTTTCCCGGAATGAATTCTGCTCTCATTGAGATACTCTTTTTCAGACACCATTCCCAGAGATCTAATGCTAACTGATTGCACACCTTGGATACTGTTCCACCCATTTTGTTGATGTAAGTCATCGCTGTTTTGTTGTCTGTTTGAATCAGAACAACCATGTTTGTTTCTTGTTTCAGAAATGCCTTTACTGCATGCGTTATTGCTAAAAGCTCTAGAACATTTATGTGATAATGAATCTCGCTTTGTAACCATGCACCCCCTATTCTTACATTTTTGCAAGTTGCCCCCCAACCTAGATTGCTTGCATCTGTCTGTATAACTACTGATGGCTGATTCATTACAATACTCTTCCCATTTGTGTCGCTTAAATGGTGAATCCACCAGAGTAGATCTCTCTGGGCTTCTAGAGTTAAGAAGACTTGAGCATTGTAATCTTGATATTGACTGAAAATTTGGTTCTTTGCCATTTGTAGATGGCGATAATGTAATGGGGCTGGGTATACTGCTTGAATGCTTGCTGTGAGATTTCCTATCACTTCTGACAATTTCCTTACTGAAACAGGATTTGAACTGAAAACCTCTTGACAAATTGTTCTTATCTTCTTTGTCTTCTCTAATGGTAAGGAGAGTGTCATTATACTGGAGTCTATCTTGAATCCCAGATATTCTAGAACTTGGGAAGGGACTAAATTTGATTTCTTGAAATTTATCAGAAACCCTAAACTTTCTAGCAAATTGACTGCTCTCTCGCCATCTATCAATGCCCCCTCCTTGGTCTGATTCATGATCAGAATATCGTCCAGGAAAATCACTAATCTCACCCCTAACCTTCGTAGGTAACTTATGGGAACTTTCATTAATTTGGTGAAAACCCAAGTGGCTACTGTTATCCCAAATGGAAGACAAAGGAATTGATACACTTTCCCCTCCCAAATAAATCTGAGATATTTTTGATCTTCTTTTATAATGGGAATTGTGAAATAAGCATCTTTCAGGTCTATTTTTATTAGCCAGTCCCCTTTTTGAATCATATCTCGTACTAGATTGATTCCCTCCATTTTGAAATGTCTGTATATCATGTAACCATTTAATTCTTTCAGGTTTATTACAGGTCTTTGCCCCCCTCCCTTTTTCTCTACAAGAAATATGGGGCTTATGAACCCGTCCAATGTGTCTTCCACTTGTAAAATTGCTCTCTTTTCTAACATGTTGAGAATTTCTTGGTTTACTAATGCATTCTTTTCCTTGGAAAATCCCTTGAAATGAGGAAGATTCACTTGAACAGGGGGATTTTGAGAGAATTCTAGTTTTAAGCCTAGCACTGTTTCTAGAACCCAGCAATCTTTTGACAGATTTTCCCAGTTTTGATGGAAATATTTCAACCTCCCCCCCCACAGGGATATTCTTGAGATTTTCTGTCAAAACCGGAAATTTTAATTCTGAAGTGATTGGCCTTACCTTCATTTCTACTGATTTTCTGTCTTTCTGGAAAGAGGAAAGTTTGCTGAACCTCTGCCTCTCTGGCTCTGTTGTCCTCTGTAATTGTGGCCCCCAAACTGGTATCTGTTGTTTGAGGGCCCTGTCCGAAAAAACTGCTGGGGTCGACCTGCACCATTTCTGAAAGAATTCCTTCTCTCGTTATTGTTATCATAGAAATAAGAGTTCTTATTGTCAGACTTGAACCGTTTTCTTTGTGGAAGAAGATCTGAAATCTCTCTATTATCTTTACTGTCTTTAGCTAACAGCTTCCTAAATGTGTTTCCAAACAGTTTATCTTTTGATTTTCTTAATGCTTTCTTTCCAGAACTGTCCTCAATTAGGTCAACACACTCTGGTACAAGTTTGCTTAATAAAGTTTTGCGTCTATCGGTGAGATAAACATAATGAGCGTTTCCAATCAACACTAATGCTCTCTGTACAATATTTATAACATCATTGGGGTCTATGCCTTTATTAGCTTTTCTGACCTTTTCAGCTTCATGCCAAAGTATGGCTAATGGACCAGTAGCATCAAGAATGCGATTTTGTGTATTTATTATAATTTTCTCTTTTTTGTTGGACATGGCCTGATTGAATCTTTTCCTAAAAAGTTTTTTAATGAATCTGTCAGTTTCTTTGATTTTAATCTATTTGTGTTTGGTGTTTTACAGTTCTTTGTTATTTCTTGTCGAGTAGCTTTAGTAATGCCATTGTTAGCATACTTCTCAATGTAATTCGTTATTTTCTTTGGTAATTTCTCACCTCCCTTCATCTTCAAAACCTGTGAAGGATTGAATATATCTGAATCTGACTCTGACTCTGAATCATTTGAACTACTGCTGTCATCTGAACTTGATTCTTCTGAATCGCTATCGCTCTCCTTCTCACGCTTTCTCTTTCTACTTTCACTTTTGGATGCATTAACTCGTTCGTTTCTCCATTCTCTTCCCGAACCCTCATCAGAGTGAGGTTCTTCATTAGTGCCCTGAATCGGCGTACCAGCATTATTAGTGCCCCGTATTGGCGTATTTCTTGTGCCCTGTATTGGCGTATCTCTTGTGCCCCTTATTGGCGTGTTTTTGTGTTTATTGCCCTGAATTGGCGTTTGCTCATAATCACTTTCTGCATCGTCGGAAATTTGCTCGTTTTCCGAAACACAAACCTGCAGTCTATCAGAAGACGGTGTTCTTCTCCCTAAGGCATCTGGGGAGAAAAGCTGACTTTGCGCCATTCTAAACGTCTGCAATGCCTATAAAAACATGCGAAACGTGGAGCGATAAACTTACGTCCACTCACTTACAGAGCTAAAATTGAAAGCATTGTTTAGTGGTCACTCAGGTGTGTCATTCACCTGTAATGGACGAGTCTAAAAACTTTCATAGGGGTGGTCACTTTAAACAGCTGATTTTTGAGCTAAATTTGAAGGCATTGCAATGTTATATCTTATGATGTTTTCTGAAATATAATTCGTTTCACTCAAACGAACATAAATTATTTACAATCAAAACAAGAACACTTGTCTACATAGGAAATGGAAGCGCTTGCTTGCCAATATTTCGAACATAAAGAAAGAGGGCTCTGGTTTTTCTACAAGCTCAAGAAACAGTTAAAATTAATGTTCATTTATATAAGGAATTTTTGCTAAAATTTTTGTAAATGTTGATCTTTATTGCATTTTCTTGATCATACGTGTGTTTAACAATTTCTGGTGGAAACTTTATTTATTTATCTATTTTTAAGTAAAACTAGATATGCAATCTTAACCTATATTTGTCCAAATAAATATAAAGCATTCAAAATGTTTATCCGATTTTTGTGTTGAATATATGTTTGGAACAATGATCCTTTTTAAACAAACTTTTGCAACAAAGCAACCATAGTTTTGACGCTGATACTGGAAATAAAAAACTAGATCGCACTCACTTTGTTCAGGTCCGTTTTGTTATTTCTATAAATGATAAAGAATAAGTATCAAAATAACATCGAATCTCCAAACATTATTCGTTCAATTAACTCAAACATCCATCTTAAGCTATCAAACATAAGAAACTAAACAAATCATATCTTAGTGTTTTATATTATTGATATGGATTTCACCATTAGCAAGATTGAACGCATACATATATTTCTTTTATAAAAGTATAAGTCTTTAAGATTTCATTTTTCAGACATGACAGATGTTATCAGATGTAAATCATCATAATATGCGCTGTTAATACAGTTATATTTTCCTTCAATTCACTTAATTGCCTATTAAAATTGACCGTTCAAAAACAAAAACATCAGTATATTCTTTTAAGTATATAGAACCATACAACTTATGTCATTCTTTTTGGGTATAGACTTTGATTTTACCATTTGCTAGATTGAACGCAAACATGTATTTCTCCTATACATTTAGGAATTTTAAATAAAAAACATCTTTACATTCCAAACAAAACAAATGACGATTGTTTATCTTAAGTAATCATCATAATTTTCGCCGTAAAGCATTTTCCTTCAATTTGCTTGCCGCAAGTAAATAAGTTCTGAAATCAATTAAAATTTGCAACAATCCTTTTAGAATACATGTATATCAAATTTGTATAGCATAGCATCGCTGTAAATTATTTGCTGGCTGCATATTTCCGTGCACCAGAAATCATCATGATTACATCACTGACAACATACTATTCGACCAGACTTTAACAAGCTGCGGCGTGCTACACACCAGAAAAATGTTTAGAACTACACTGGCTGCGTCAATACGCACCAGGACTTCCACTGGCTACAACATGCTATGCACCAGGACTTCTACTGGCTGCAACATGCTATGCACCAGGACTTCTACTGACTGCAACATGCTATGCACCAAGAATTTCCACTGGCTACAACATGCTATGCACCAGGACTTCCACTGGCTGCAACATGCTATGCACCAGGACCTACACTGGCTATAATGTGCTATGCACCAGGACTTCCACTGGCTGCAACGTGCTATGCACCAGGACTTCCACTGGATGCATCGTGCTGTACACCAGAAACACCCTGAAAACTCTACTTGCGTCACATACGCAGCAACATCAACTTACTAACTTCACTGGCTGCAACGTGCTATGCGCCAAGAACATAATGATAAATCTACTAAATGAGGCATACTAAGCACCAGGATTACTATAAAGATCACTGTGCATTAAATGTATCTTATATACTGAATCTTCATGTGCAGTAAAATCAACACTTCATAACTGTGCAAAAATATAACTATTTTATAAACTTCTATTACGAAATACAATTAAGTACTGTTTTTCCATTATACTATATAAAGAATTTTTCACATGTAATTATTTAACGACTTCTAGATCACTATTCATTTTATATTCTGCGACAGTGTGCATGGATATTATTTTTGTAACATTTTAAATTTCTTACGCCTTTAAAACGGCATTTCCATGTACATCTGATTTTCTAATTTTAAACGAAGCAGTATTATATATAACACAGATAAAGTATAATTACAACCGTTCAATGTTCAATGTAGATACAAATACAGGGTCTTGAGCCTTTAGAGCGGCATTTCCATGTACATCCGATTTTCTAATTTTTAACGAAGCAGTATGATATATACAATGTAACACAGATAAAGTATAATCACAACCGTTCAATGTTCAATATAGATTCAAATACAGGGATATAAAAACGTCCCTCATTCAAAATTTATAATTCATTACGATTATTTCAAAATAAAAACTAAAATAATAATAGTTAAGATATTCCTATTTAAGACGTTCTGGTATTCCAAAAAAAAAATTATATATACAATTTTATGCTTGTATGTTCTTGAAAACTTAGACTGCTATCTATACACTAAATCAAAAAGCTCCTCGACACGTAACAACTTCAACCGACGTTTACTTGTTTTCAAATATCGCATATCTTTTGAAAACAAACTGCAAATTAAATTTTATTTGCGTCGTAGTGCTGATGAGTGAAATCTAGTTTGTTCAAGTCGTGTCCAAAACAATATGACATGGCTAATTATAAATATCAATACGTTCACAGTTGAATCAAAATTTGACCGTGAAAACCTGAACACAATCAATCGTATTCCATATAACCTCATAATAATATTTTACTGAAATATATAGTATACTCGGATATTTATCATTAGACCAGAAAAGAAAGTCAACAATATAAAATAACATTTCTTAACTGTTTGAAAGCTTTATAAAAAATTTCAAAGAGATAAAATTAATCCAGAGCTTTCCCTTCTATCTTTCATTTAATAACGAGAAAATGAAATGATTTCATTTACAAGCAGTAGGCTTTTTGTATTTTTGATTGATAGTATCTAAAATACATCTATCTTATATCTAGAGGTTTTATCTAGAGTTTGTTGATTTCCATGTGAAGCTGAGTGTGTTGCAAAGAGAATCTGTAAAAATTAAGCTGAATTATAATCTCCCGACCTAATTTAACTTAGTTGTGAAATCAAATCAAAATCAGTCTTTAAGGGTTTGTTAAATAAGCATACATGTACATACGTACAAATGCATTCATACAGTATATCGAAGCCTGCTGTAGATTCTAGCTACTCTCTCATAATCATAAGCGAAATCATTTATCGAAGTGGTATATATTCTGTGCGTTCAAATGAATGTCATACTGCCCTACAAACAATTAAAAAATGGTTTGTATATTCTACATCATCATGATACTGATTGTATAATTATTATGCTGACTGTTAAAAAGAAAAAATACCTGCGCTATGCTTTACTGTTTACAAGTTATAAATTTATATTGTATACAATAAAATGTATGTCTTATGTAATAAAGTGACTTGAATTCAATTGTATTCAAAACGTTTTCATTATAAATAACTTAAGTATTATCGAAAATACTCATCTTTTACTTCAATGACCATTATGTACTCTCTGCTTATGGATGTAAAATCTGTTGAACTGTTCAGGCGATTCTGGACCTTTGTCTTCCGATGAGCAGTGGAAAATTCTAAGAAGATAGACATAGGTGAAATAACTTATCGAAAAGGTATCTTGTCTGTGTTTACTTTCATTATGTACTTTTATTTTTATAATAATAAACGGGGGATAAATTAATGCCGCGTTCTTGAACTTGAACCTTAATTATCACCAAAAACTGAAAACATTATTTTTAAAAACTTATCTTCTGTTTCAATGGCCCTTTTTTTTTTTACTCTGTTTATGACTGTGAAATCTCCTTTGACTGTTGATGTAACGAATGCTGGACTTCTCGTCTTTTGTTGAGCCGTGAAAATCATAACTTCAGGTATACATGTACGTATCTAAGGTTTGAGGATTCTCGGTGTGCATGCGCTATTCTGGATACTTCACCACGAGAACTGTGTTTAATGAACCGTCTTTGTATTTTCGATGGTAAACGGAATGTTTGAAGAGAATAGATTTCTTTGTCGAATGCAATGCCATATAAAATTTGTAGACTGGTTGTAGAATCGACTTTCCAAACAGGGATGGGCCTGTCTCCTTACAATTTTTGTTATTAGGAAGTATACGTCTGAATGTCGCAAAGCAAAGCCTTCGAATGAGTTAAAATCGTGATTAAAGTGAATACCTGTTCACCCGTTCTACAGGTATCGACCTTTAAATACTGACCAATAGCTACTGTCGCTATTATTAGCACATAATAAAAAAACGTGTTCCTAGTACATATGATAAATAAATTTATAATGTATTGACGATGGCTGGGTTTGCCGTTCCAAATAAAATTGTATTTGAATTTCACAGAATATTCAAAAAGATTTGTTGCATGCAGGATTTCTTGTTAATGAAGCTAAGAGCGTTTGGAACCCAGTGCAAAAGTTAGAGTGGTTTGGTTACGAGTGGAAATTAGAAGTCGGTTTTATTGGTATCCCTCGACGTAAATTAGAGTTTTGTGTAGCAAGATAATTAAATTTTAAAAAAAATACCTGCTACAGATCTCTAGATCTCGCTAGAGAAGTATGTACTTAGAATTATTTCGTTTAAGTTTGCACTTGAGCCTGTTTGTCAAATAACAATTGTTAAATGCTTATTGCTAATGCATCATCTAGGGATGAAAGTATTAATATTTCACTTTTTGCTTGGTGTGAGCCAGAGTTTTGGTTAAAAAAAGTTTATCAATTCCACCAGGGTTATTTCCTCATTGTATTGCAGACCGGAACGCATTGTTTTTACTGATGCTAGTGATTTTGCAGGGGGTGGAGTGATGTTAGATTCGACTAAGAAATTTTTTC